GTCCGCTGCGCAGGGGCTCGGTGATGGTCGGTGCGTTGGCACCAGCACAGCTCAGAGGCCGCGCTCCGCTGGGCCTGCGCCTGCGGCTGAGGAGACGCAGCCGGTCCTTGTGACGGGGTGGAGCCCGGTCTTGTGACGTTGCAGGGGCGGGGCTTATGATGGGCGGGGCGGGGTTTCAGCGCAGAAATCAAAACTGGCTAGGTTCTACTCCGCGTTGCGGTCCTGTGGGCTGTTTTCCGCGTCCCGGGTCCGAGGCCCATTCACTACAGCTGTCTGGAGGGATGGGATAGGACCTTGATTGCTGAAGACACCTGGAGGAAGGGATTTATTCTGGTTCTCTTGCTGTTCAAGGATTTAGGAAGTTGGTTCCTATGGGCAGGATTTGCTGAAACTCCAAAAACACTTTTCTTGGCTTTAAAACACAGTGTTCACTTTCTCTTTTAATCCAGGTCCATCCCAAACCTCAATACCTACCCTTTTAATTGCCCATTCGGCCAGTCGTAGAGACCATTCTAGACCTCTTGCTCTCAAGTCTTTGTGTCTTCAAACATTGTTAGTGGCCTGAGGCTGGGTTAACTCCCTGTCTTGGCTTCTGGAGGTTCTCCTGAGGAGATTATGACTGCCACCAGCAGGGCGTCCCCTGGGTGAGCCCAGTCCTCTCTGCAGTAGCACCACCTCACCTGGGGCTGAGTAGAACCAGTAGTACCAACTAATCTAGTACTCCTTTGCTCTTGGGCAACTGAACTCCCCAAGGCCAGGCAGTGGTTGGGAAAAGGCCCTCTCCTGTGCCTTTGATGTGCTAGTTCAATGTTTAACCACTGGACCTATTAAAGGGAAACCCCAATTTGTAGCTTCTGCACATGCTAGTGGTGTAAATATTCTCACTATGGTTGATTTCAAACAACCACTAGTTTAACAACTGGTTCACAGTGGCAGAGTATGTGATTGGAATTGGCATGGCAATGTACAGCCTGTTAGGACGTGAAGAGATAGATCTAGGAAGAGAAGCTAGAGAGTACACTAGACGAATTTAGGTTTTGCAGAACCAGAAGCTCATACAATTTGAGGGATCTTAAAAATAAAATGAGAAATGCAAAGATGAGTATAGGGCTTCAGAAGGAACCGGGTGGGCTGGGTATGGTAGAGCATGCCTATAATCCCAGAAACCCAGGAGGCTGAGGCAGGAGGATTGTCATGAGTTCGAGGCCAGCCTGGGCTACATAGCAAGTTCAACCAGTCTAAACTACATAATGAGACCCTGTCTGGACAAAAAGGTTGGGGGGCTGGGCAAGTCAGAGGTCCTTCAGGGTCTTTAGCCTCCTTACATCTTCCACTAAGGGCCAGGAAAGGGGATAATGGACAAAGGAAAGCCAAATGGCTCTGTGGGGAAGGCTAGGTCATGCATTCCCTGAACTTACAGCTGTGGATAAAGAATGAGAAGCTGAGAAGGCTAGTGCCTGCTGAGCATCAGGGTTGTGTTAGAGATGCAGAGAGGTGAGAGACCACCCTGGCAGGCTTTGTGTGAGCAATGAGCTGTTTATTTCACTCAGTGTGAGCAGGCTGAGTCCAAAAGGGGAGTCAGAAACTAGCAAGGAGAGAATAAAGTCTTTAAAGGAGAGGTGCTTGCTGGGAAGAAATTGCTGCCTCGAGGTATTTAGGGGTGGAGAGAATGGGGTCACAAATCTCTGAACATGGCAGTGTAGATGTGAATGTGGTCAATTTCTTGGGAAGGGCTGTGCAGATATCCAGCTTCCTAGAGCTGAGGAGTTGCTGTATGTTTGCTGTCAAGGCTTGATGGCACCCAGGCCTGCTAGGGCTGTGGTCAGGCAGTGCAGCTGCCATGGAGATGGGAGTGTGACAAGGTTGTGTGCACGGAGGCAGAGAAGGTACTGGGGCCAGTCAGGTGGAGCCAGTCAGGCCCCAGAAGAATTTAGTTTTTACTGTTATCAACCCTGAGAGCTATAGCACCCATTGGTTCCAGTTGGTAACAAGGCTCACCCTGCCTGCTTGGTGGAGAATCCACCATGGGGATGGAAGGGAGTGGCATGGGAGATTAAGAAGATAAGGTAGCCATCTAGCAAGAAATACCAGATGCTCAGACCAGGGTGGCACAGTGAAGATAGTACTGGATAGTGTCAGTACTTGTTTTAGTGATAAGAGAAACTAAAACTAAAGCAAGATTATGAATGTACAGGCAAAAGTTTTAGTTTGAAAACAAGAGAAAATACAGAAAGGACTCTAACAGTAGCTGGAAAGGGTGTACCCTGAAGAAAATAAGGTGCCAATTTTGAGGTGCATGTGGTGGGCTGATGATTAATTGTTCATTATCTTATTTCTAGTTCAGTAGCTCCAGAGGAATCCTCATGACTTGAGGGGCAATTTGGTTCCCATGAAAGAAATATTCATGATTTGGGGAAGTCCCAGTCAAGTGAGGCTCTGCTGGAATCCAAGGTAACTAGGTTCAGGGTAAAGGAGACTTCTGGGTATAAGTGTTCTTTTTTTTGGTGGTGTTATTTTTGAGACAGGGTCTCACTATGTAGTTGAGACTGCCCTGGAACTCACTATGTAGCTCAGGCTTGTCTTGAACTCACAATGATCCTTCTGCCTCAGCCTCCTGAGTGCTGGGATTACAGGTGTGCACCACCACACCCGGCTAAGTGTTCTTAATCTTGAAGAACATGAGATAGGCTAGGTAAATGTAGTGCTGAAAAGCCTTGTTTTCACTTTGGGAGGCTGAATCAAGAGAATCACAAGTTTGAGTCCTGCCTGAGCAACCTAGTGAGATCCTGACTCAAGAATAAAAATTTAAAAAGCTGGGGAGCTGGACATGGTGGTGCATGCCTGTAATCCAAGTACTCGGGAGGCTGAGGCAGGAGGATCGCTGTCAGTTTGAGACCAGCCTGGGGTACATAGTGAGTTCCAGGCCAGTCTCAACTACATGGTGAGACCCTATCTCAAAAAAACAAACAAACAAACAAAATGAAACAAAACAAAACAAAAAGCTGGGAAACCAGCTCAATGTGAAAGTCCTAGGTTCAATCCTCAGTGCTTCAAGCAAAAATAAAAACAAAGCACCTTGTTTTGCCAAGTTTTAGACACATTCTCTAAATGGCTAACATGCCTATATTCAGGGAGCTGAGAAGAGTATGACCCATAGTTATAAAATGACAGTCAAGCTTTATTCTACTTTTAGTTACCTATTGGGCATCTGCCTAGGCCCAAGTGAGGAGTTACAGTTTTTAGCAAGAACAGCTTTTTTTGTTGTTGTTGTTGTTGTTACCAGGGATTGAACTCAGGACCTTGAGCTTGCAAGGCAGGTGGCAGAACCACTGAGCTAAATCCCCAGCCCTAGCAAGAACAGCTTTTAAATCCCTGTCTGACTCAGATGAAAATACGAATCATGGTTTTATGGAGTAACAGGAGTAATAGGTGAAGGGCCCAGGAGTTTGTCTTCTGCATTGGAGGTGCCAGGTGTGCAGGGCTGAGGGTGTGGGCTGGACAAGGGTCTGGGCCCTGTGAGAAGAAACAACAGGTGGGCTGGGGTGACTGGGGAATGAGGGTGGAGAGCAGCATTGGGCACAATCTTGTACTTTTTTTTTTTGGTACCGGGGATCAAACTCAGGACCTTATGCTTGTGAGGTAGGTGGTGGCACCAATGAGCTAATTCCTCAGCTACCAGTGTCTAGGCACAATCTTGGAAAGGCTGGAAGCAAAAGGGTTCAGAGGCTGGGGGCATTGGGAGTGGGTAGGAATGTGAATTCTATAGGCATAAGCCTGGGTGTAAGCCTGGTAGTGCCCTGGCCCTTACTATTTCTCCATCTCTCCTTCTGTGGTGAGGATTATTGGAAGAAGGCATGCCAGCTGTGCCTGATCTTCTGCGCCTGGGCATGACGAGGGCAAGGATAATGGGAAGGGCCAGATGGATGTGGGATAGAGAGAAGTAAGAGAATGAGAGGCCAACCTCTAACCCTAATCTGATCTCTGCTGAGATGAGAGTCTTTGGGGTCAAGGGTGGAGCTGCCCACCCTCAGCACTTATGCATGAGGCCTGGTCCTCATGATTTAAAAAAAAAATTTTTTTTTTGAGACAAGTTCTCACCATGTAGTTCAGACCAGCCTGGAACTCACTATGTAGCCCATGCTGACCTTGAACTCGTGATGATCCTCCTGCCTTGGCCTCCTGAGTGCTGGGATTACAGGCAAGTGCCACCACATCTGGCTTCCTTTGGTGATTATAAGGACCATTTTGGGGAAAGTAGCTATAGGTCAGCCTCAGCCAGTGCAGGCCTGGAGATCCAGGGCTGGTCATAATGACAAAAGCCTGGAGACCCTACATGAGGGGCAATCACTCAGCTCTCTTGGAACATTTAGTGGGGAAGGTGATTTGGCCATTTCGAGATCATAGGGAAAGGCTCAAAAAGTAGAGGACAGTCAGAGGACACTCCTGTCCACTCTGCCAAGGCAGGGGCTGGAGTAGGTGCGAGGGGTCCAGTGGCTGGGCTGGTGGGAGGGTACTGAGGGCTCTGCCTGGCTATCACCTCCTGGTAGGCTTCAGAAGAGGAAACACCTGGGCCACTAAACCCAGGCCCTGGCCTCAGGCCTGAGCCCTCCCTCCTTCTTCCGGCAGTGTCAGTTTCACTTTTGTTTTCCTGTCAGATCCCAGGCTGAAGTGCAGGCTGGCTTCTATCCGTCCTGAAGGCCTGAGTGGCAGGGGGAGTGTAAGTGTGGGACATGGGGTTGCCTACAATGGGGCAGCACATGGGATATATGCAAGGGGCCCTGGGAGGGAGTAGGAGGGGTAATCCAGTCAGCTGGACAGACCCAGTAGGACCTAGAAGGGAAGGAGCTGGCCTCTACCCTAATGTTCCATTTCAGGGTTGTGATGGCAGAGGAGGTGGCGGGGGTGGCACTGGAGGTCAACGGGCTGACCCCCCATGTGCCAGATGAGCTGCTCATGCTCTACTTTGAGAACCGCCGACGGTCTGGAGGGGGACCTGTGTTGAGCTGGCAGAGACTTGGCTGTGGGGGCATCCTCACCTTTCGAGAACCTGAAGGTGAGAGTGTTGGCTGAAAGGGGCAGCCTGGGTACCTTGATGTCACCACAGCTCTGATGCGCTGCCCCTGCTCACAGATGCTCAGAGAGTATTGGCACAGGCAAAGCATGAACTGCAAGGTGCCTGGCTGTGCCTGAGGCCAGCCCCACCATGTGCCTCTACACGTCTGCTCCTCCAAGGATTGCCACCTGGAACCACACCCCAGCGCTTGGAACAGCATGTTCAGGCCCTGTTGTGTGCCATAGGATACCCAGTGCAGCCTTGCCGTGCCCTGGCTAGCCCCAGGCCTGATCGTGCCCTGGTCCAGCTGCCTATGCCCCTTCCTGAAATGGGTAAGAGGTGGGACTGGAGCTGAGGTGCTGATTAGGGAAGATGCCCAAAGCATACTTGCACATTTCCTACAGAATTCCGGATCTTGGAGGAGCAGGCCCAGAATCTGGACCTAGATGGAGCTGCTGTGTCCCTGGCCCGAGTGCCCCAGACTCGAGCGGTGCGTGTGGTAGCAGGCACCCCACCTGTGGACCTGCTGCTGCTGGAGCTGTACCTGGAAAACGAGCGACACAGTGGTGGGGGGCCCCTGGAGGGCTTGCGCAGCCTGCCTAGGCAGCTGGGCACTGTCATCTCCTTCCAGCAGTGGCAGAGTGAGTTAGTTGGACAGACCCAGTGGGACCTTCTCTCTCCCACAGAAACCTGATGGATGTTCTTTCTTCCTCCAAGCGGCTGAACAGGTGTTGCAGCGGAACCACTGGCTGCAGGGCTCAAAGCTGAGCCTTGTCCCCCACTATGAGGTCTTGGAGCCTGAGGATCTCGCTGAGGGCACTGCTGGAGGGGACCACCCATCCACAGTGGGGCCTGGAGCCATGGACCATGCTCTCCCAGAGACTGAAAGGCTGGCAGGGGCCCTGAAGGGTGCAGAGGACTCTGGGGACGCACCAGGGCAGTTGAGAGCCTCTTTGGGAAAAAGTCATGAGGGACCTCCAGGACAGGTCATGCTAGCTAACTTGGGAGCTGTAAGGTCCCTGGAGCAAGTGGGGCTAGTGAACCAGGGGCCTGTGGGGCTGCTGGAGCAGGAGAGGTCCATGAGCCTGGGAACTGTAGGGTCTCCAAAGCAGGCTGGGCTCAAGAGCTCAGAGCTTAAGGAATGTGCAGGACTGGCTGGCCCAATGGAGATCTCTATGAGGTTGCTGGGGCAGGAGAACCCAGGGCCTTTGAATCTGGTAGAGCAGGAGGGCCTTGTGGGAGTTGCCATGAGCTCACTGGGGCAGGAGGGGCTGGTGGGGCCATCAGAGATCACCATGGAGTCTTCAGAGAAGATTGGGTTAGAGAGCCCAGGGCATGTGGAGCTGCTGGGACAGGAGGACCTGGTGGATATGGTGTTGTCAATGGAGCCAGGGGCGATGCGCTTCCTGCAGCTTTATCATGAGGACCTTCTTGCCAGCCTGGGAGATGTTACTCTCTTCCCACTTGAAGGAATAGATGTGACAGGCTTTCGGGTGAGTGACTCCTGGGAAACCCTTACTTCTGGGCCCTTCTCCCTCTGGAGCCTCATACTTTTCCTGTGTTCTAAACCTGTAAACTCTTCCTCTGGCATGGTTCTGTAGCTCTGTGGAGTCCAGGCCCCATGCCAAGCAGCCCAGGAATTGCTACAGAGTCTGCTGGGCAGCATTAGCTGCCACACATTGAGCCTGAGGCACCCAGGCAGCGCCAGATTTCTGCTGGGGATGGAGGGACAGCGCCTTCTTCAGGGCCTAGAGGCTCAGTTCCAGTGTATCTTCGGGACAGAGCATCTGGCCAGTGCCACCGTGGACACAAACCCTGAAGAGGTAGAGGTGGAATTCTGCTCACCCCTCCCTTTTGTGTACCTCAGCCTGCCAGTCCCAGGTGCCTCAACCTTCATCCAGAGGCTGATGACCTTGACACCCTCTCCCCACAGGTGGATCCCACTGAGGTCCTTCAGGTCCTCCCAGCACACAGTCATACTCTGTGGTCCCCAGAGACTACAGGCAGTGACCAGGAGAATATGAACATGGGTAGGGCTCCCTCAAGACCCCAGAATGTCCTGGGGTCCTTTCTTGACCTCACCCTCTGCCCCATTCTGCACTCTTCTTAGGCCCCACACTCTTTACCTCTAAACTTATTCCATCTTTCATATACTCTAGCTCATTCTATCCTTCAGGGCCACCCTGGCTGGGCTTGCTCCATGACTCAGTGGTCTTTCCCTACACCTAGAGGAAGTACGAGAGATGCTTGCCACCCTGGAGAGGCTAGATTCAGAAAACTGGCAGCCCCTGGAGCTTCAGGAGAAAAAGCCAGAAGAACAGCCAGAGGATGCAGGGCAGGAGGAGGAAGCACCCATATCTGGAGCTGGGAAGGAGCCTGTGGAACCTAACATTGGGACACCTGAGCCTGAGCAGCTGAAGGAGGAGGCTGCACTGCAGCTGGCCCTCTACCACTCTCTGGAGTCTCAGGACCAGCTGGCTGAGCAGAAGGAAGCTGCCACACTAAGGCTAGCCCTGGCCCTCTCCCTGTTGGAGGCAGAAGAGCCTCTGGGTGGCAGTACTGGTAGTGGGGCCCGACTGGTGGTACACGTGCCCTTTGAGCAGGATGTGGAGGAGTTGGACCGGGCACTAACAGCTGCCTTGGAGGAACACCTCCAGGAGGAGACAGTGAGACTCCAGGGCCAGGTGCTGCCCGCAGAACTGTGTGCTCCTATGGAACGGTACCATGGTGTGAGTGTCGTCCCACGTGGTGACAGCATCCTCCTCCGAGGCTTTGGGGCCCAGCCTGCTCGTGCAGCCCGCCACTTAGCTGCACTTCTTCCTGGCCCTTGGGATTCGAGTCTGGCCTCCCCCTTTGGGGGTTCAGACACCAACTGTGAGTGTGTACCTTGGGCTGGGGAGTGGGGTGGGTTGGGGCTATCGGGCTAGTGCCTCATCCATGGCCCTGCCATCTCTCTCTTCATATATTAGTGCCAGAGTGGAGGCTGAAAGAGCCCTTGGGCAGACTAGAGAAACTGGCAGAGAGTACCACGGAGTTCCAGGAGGTGGTACAGGCCTTCTACGACTCCCTGGATGCTGCCCACAGCAAAATCTGCATTATCCAGGTGAGTCTACATCCTGCTCAATGGCCTCATGGTTCCCTGTGTGCTGTCACACTCGCCTGCATCAGGGTCAGCTGGCCTAAAGTACTCAGGCTAGAAGCTGACCTGGTAATGAGAGAGCACTAGGGCTCTCCAGCCTCATTCCTGATCAGAGGGTACTCACTAAGTGATAGAGACGACCAAAGAACAGGGAGGTTAGGGAGGCCTGGGATCTGACAGGCCTGGGTGAGGCTTCCTCTGAATGGTGTGTGGCCTTCTCCCTGCCTAAAGCCTTAATTGGATCATGGGGTGGTGATGCCACCTTGTGGCCATTGTGAGGATTACTTTATTCCCACAAATGATTCCCCCCCTTTACTGTTGCGGGGGCTCTTCTGCCTCCCATAGAGGTCACTTTGGCAGGTAAAGCGCCAGGGCTCACTGCCTCCTCATGCGTGTATGTGTGTGCTGTGTGCATGTGTGTAGATCAAACCTGTTGTGCGAGTGCTTTACCATGGAGATACATCCCTAGTCCCTCTTTCTGTATTTTCTTGTATTCTTACTTGCTAAATCTATTAACTCTGAACACAGACATGTTTCCCAAAAAGGCTAGGAATAATTGGTGGGGAAGCCAGAGTGAAGCCAGAAGACCCAGCTTACCCAGAAAGTTAAGACAGAAGAGCTGAGAAGGAAGGGCTCAGGAGACCAGGCATATGAGAGGCATGTGAAAAGTTAAAAAACAAAAAAATCTCTCCATAGTTTCTTAACATCTTGTCTTGGTGGTGAGAAACCCAATATGAAATTTCTTTCCTCTTTTATATTGGCCTTGGCATATGCTTGTAAAGCTTTCTTCACTTCAAAGGTTGAGGGTTTCCCGTCAGGCTCCAGAGGTATGACTTTCCCATCATTCTTCTTCTTGGCTCCTTCACATCTGGAAATGTTGCCTTCAACTCAGAGAAATGGTCCTCCACTGTGTGTCCAGATCCCATCCATCACTGCTTCTTGTCTTCTGGGGAAAGTCCTGTGAGGCAGATTTACTTCCTTCACCTGCCTCTCCCACCTGTTCGCTTATCATTCCCTACCTCCTTTACAGTAGCTCTACTCTCTGCATCATTTCCTTATCTCTATCTCCACCCACTGGCTGAGTCTTTAACCATCATTATCTGGCTCACCCACAGGATTTTTCTCAGCAGTCTTTTCCTCTTTCTTCTTTTCTTCCTTTCCTCTTCTTTCTTTTCCTCCTCTCCTTCTCCTCCAGTTGGGCTGGAGGTCCAACCCAGGTAAACTGAACCTTCAGCCCAGCAATCCCATTCTTAATGGGAGAACGCTTATTTCTTTAGACTCTTTCACAGCAGTTAGTCTTTTTTATGGATGTGGTATCCTTTGGCATCATTCTGAAGAGATGAATTAGAATCCTTTTAAAAACTGTTTGGCAATAAAGAAAGGAAGGAAGGAAGGAGGCCAGGTGGGGTGATGCATGGCCTGTAATCCCAGCACTTGGGAGGCTGAGGCATGATTGATATGAGTTTGAGGCCAGCCTGGGCTACACGGTGAGTTTAAGGATCATCTGAACTACATAGAGAGACCCTGTCTCAAAAACAAAACTAACCAAAATTCTATCCGTTTGGGTTTCTGAGTTTGTTCCCCGAGGACTGACTGTTGGGTTGGCCACTTGAGGCCTTATCTTCAACCTGGGACTCCCACGACTGAGAGGTCGGTGGGCATCTCTTGGTGTTGGGCTTGAAATTCTGAGGGCAGTGTAGGCATCCTGCTGGGCTTTTCACTGAAGAGGCTTAGCTGTAGGTTCTGCTTTCTGATGCACACATGGAGTTTACCCAATTGCAGTCCTTCCTCGAGGGGTCAGGCATCCCTGGAAGCCTTTCACTGTTACTTGCCCCATGAAGTTGTCATGTTGGGGGCTACAAGGTCTCTCCCAGATCCTAATTTCCTCCACCAGAAGGCTCCTGATGGCCGAGCTCAGCTGTCAGGAGTCTGTCCACGGTGTAAGGAGGAACTTCCAATAGCCCAGCCCTGACTGCCACTCACCTGGCAGGTACAGCGAGTGTCGAACCCGCTGATGGAGCAACAGTACCAGCTGCACCGGGATCGTCTGGTGCCGCGCTGCACACAGCACCCTGCAGAGCAGGTCCTGTACCACGGCACGTCGGCATCCGCAGTGCCTGAGATCTGTGAGCACGGCTTCAACCGCAGCTTCTGTGGCCGAAACGGTGAGGCCTGGGTAGAGCAGTGGCGGGGGCCCAGACCATCCAAATATTCTGACTTCTGTTTGCCTGTCCCACCCCGCAGGCACACTCTACGGGAAGGGCGTGTACTTTGCCAAGCGTGCCTCTCTGTCTGTGCACGACCGATATTCGCCCCCCAATGACAATGGCCACAAGGCCATATTCGTGGCACGAGTGCTGACAGGCGACTACGGGCAAGGACGCCGGGGTCTGCGAGCGCCCCCTCTGCGGGCCGGTCACACCCTCCTGCGCTACGACAGCGCTGTGAACTGCCTCCACCAGCCCAGTATCTTTGTCATTTTCCACGACACCCAGGCTCTGCCCACCCACCTCATTACTTGCAGGCGCTTGCCCCACGGTTCCCGGGAGACCTCTCTTGGACTTTTAGGCCCCTCTCCGGCAGCCACCTGACTGGAGGATGGCCTGCTCCTCAGATTCCCGTTCTCCACAGCACCCTCGGCGTTAGGTAGCAGGAGCCAAGTGGACCCAGAGCGCCGGACCCACCACCAGGGGTCAGCAGAGCCCAGCGGGAGGGCGCGCTGGCCGGGCACGCCCGTCTTGGCCCTACCTCGCCCGAGCGCGGCTCAGTCTTTGAATAAAACCTGTGTGTTCACTGGCGGAAGGGCCCCTGGGTACTCGGAATCCGACCTCTGGGGAATGGGGGCCTCGTAGCAACTAGGGTCCGGGTCTGCTGTTCACAGGGCGGGGGCGGTGGCAAGCAGCTGACCAAGGCTGCGGGTGTGGGGCGGGGCTCGGCGCACCGGGGC